TTTCCATCAGAAGGCTGCTTCTCCACTGTCTTATATAGAAAGTTGTATGAGCTACCCGTATTTGGCTCACCACCAAAATCACGGGCTTCTACACCTGTGACGTATGACAATTTGAATTCATAGAGATTTTTTCTGGGTTACATCTTCTTTTTATTCTGGAGTACAACGTTTCAGGGCTTGTTCTGGCCCCATCATCAGGTAAAACTGAACAGTAACTGAACAGTAACTGTTAACTCTGGCCGGGACGTGACGTCACAATGCTATGACGACGCAATACATGTGGTGGTCAATAGATACAGATGACATGGCTAATAGAATACATGTTATTATGAATATATAACATGTTGTTTACTGCAAAATCAATGGATCAATTTACATTATCACTTCACATTCTATACATTTATAAATACGTCTCTGTACATTTCTAAATCAATCAACAATTTTGTATAAGTATCTGCACAGTTCTAAATTGATCCATTAATTTTGCAGTAAACGACATGTTATATATTCATAATAACATGTATTCTATTAGCCATGTCATCTGTATCTATTGACCACCAGATGTATTGTGACGTCATAAGCATTGTGACGTCACGGCCAGAGTTAACAGTTACTGTTCAGTTTTACCTGAATCAAGCATCTAATTTGAATTCACATTCAATTGTCATCCGTCAGCCATCACACATGCATGGCTGACACAACATCTTACTAATGTTGTAAAAGTCACAGGTGAGCACCCTCTCTATATTCTTTCTCCATTTCATAGTGCTAAATATCTAATTATTATCAACTAAGTACCTTCAGTTAGTAAACATATTGTTACCGATCGCGCATAAAGTAAACATATCTATCACGTATCACTAACTTAAGCACTAGCACGTAAGACAGTGTGTGAAAATATAATTATAATGTATTTTATAAACCTTTTATTATCAACACCAACTGTATATATGTTTACCAAAAATATGATGCTTCACCAGTATGCGACGTCATCATGTAAACAATCAACATTATTCAATTGTTATCGTAATTATAACATATGCCACTGTGCTTTGTAATTATCAATTGAATAATTAATATGCCTGATTAATTCACATTCAATTGTCATCCGTCACACATGCATGGCTGACACAACATCTTGCTAATGTTGTATAATTCACAGGCAATAAACGAGATGTTTTACAACAACGAGGATCTCTGTCCGTTATTTTGTCTGCTTGGCAAGACTAAGGCCTGAACCTGCAACCTGAGTAGTATATATGTCACAAATATTTTTCTGCAAAAGGAAGGTTTTGTAAGTTCTCAATTTGTTATGATATTTTGTTTGATTGTTGTTGTACATGGTTTGACAAGTTTCAGATGTTAAAAAATCCATGAAACTTGTAAAATCCCTTCTAGTGACACATGAAACTTATATTATGATACTCTAGCTGTGATACTGACCACTTTGAGAGAGTTACTCAAAGACCTCACCAGTTGGCTGGCTGGATTCTATAGACATCTTGTGTCTTGTTTGATGGACTTTCCTTCCTCGTTAACTTGACATGTCATGATCTGACTGAAATTAACACTCACACTCACTCACTCACTCACTCACTCACTCACTCACTCACTCACTCACTCACTCACTCACTCACTCACTCACTCACTCACTCACTCACCCACTCACTCAAATCTTGCTGTGTTAGATGGCTGTCAATGATGCTGTCTTGGACTGGATAATTAGGTTCAGTTTTGCTGTGTTAGATGGCTGTCAGTCTTGCTGTAATGGACTTGATAATTAGGTTCAGTCTTGCTGTTTTAGATGTCTGTCAGTCTTGCTGTAATGGACTTGATAATTAGGTTCAGTCTTGCTGTCTTAGATGGCTGTCAGTCTTGCTGTAATGGACTTGATAATTATGGTCAGTCTTGCTGTCTTAGATGGCTGTCAGTCTTGCTGTAATGGACTTGATAATTAGGTTCAGTCTTGCTGAGTTAGATGGCTGTCAGTTTTGCTGTAGTGCACTTGATTATGGCTGTCAATGAAGTTGTGTTTTACTCGATAATGTCAATGTTGCTGTTGGTTATTTGGTCGAGGCTGTTAATCATGCTGTTATGACGTAATTAGGGCTGTTAATCTTGCTGTTTCTGTAGGATTTACCACTCAATAAATATTATTGTCTGCTTCAATGCATTTATGAAATTATACATAAAGTTAATGAAAGTTGAAGGGCATTCCAAAAGTAAGCTAAGATGTAAGATTTTTATTAACATTTTGCATTAGACAAGGGCAAAGGAAATGATTCACTAACAAATGAAAACTTTGATGTTATCTCTAAGAATTGTTAGAGTGGAACAGATATTGATTCCGATTCTGGAGTTGATTAATTGGGCGGGTGTTTTTTCTTCTTCCCAGTCATCGCCTCTGAACAAGCCAGTGGTCAATATTTCATCACATTTCACCATAAAAGATCAAGCTCTGTAATGAGACTGATGAAGAACAGTCCACATAACATTGCAAGATATATTAAAAAACCCTGATAATATCTGAAGCCTTCAGACAGGACTGAGTATGTCCTGGAGGCAGCTCTGTGATGTAGACGGAGCCAGGGTGAGGGATTGTGATTATAGGTATTATCTTTGAGAGTGGAACATGATGAAACCCCTGGTTGCGTGCTATCGAAGGCGGCGCTGCTATGTTTTGTTAGGCCTTCGTACATGGCAGTAGGTTCCCACTATATCTTCAATCATGGAAGACCCCTGTATTGATGAGTGGCAAAGAATGAGGTCAACATAAGAGAAACTTTGAGTGGGAGGTTACAATATCGGTAATTAGATAAATTTGATAAAGGATTTTTTTATGTTTGCTGAGATCTATGTTGTTTGGTCGTGAAGAGGTGAGTTTGATATGTATGTGGTGGAAGTGATATATCAGTCCTGGCAGTCACAGTTCATGATTGAACTGAATTATCAGTTGCATTTGCCACTGGGAGATGATTGATCATTCAGAAATATTATGAAACTCATTCCAGAGAGATTCACATAGTAGATGGCATCTCATGTTACAACAGAAACAATAAATACTGCTTTTGCCTGAAAGGGTGCTTATTTGAAAATCCTAAACATCAGCTCTCTTGTTTTAATTTAAAGTCAGGAGATGTTTTGAGGAAGATGAAACACACAGCTTTGTAATTAACAAAGTTCAAAATGTGCCACAGTTTTTGTAGCTACAGTTCTGATTACAAATTCTGCACCTACAGGCATATATGCTAGGATGTGTCTATTCACAAAAAAGTGCCCATTAAGTTCCCATGGCCGACATATTGAAAGAAATCATTTGTGCTTCATAGGTATTTTAGCATTGCTTTAATGCAAAAAGTGTGACACTAGGTATCTGTAACCAGGAGCCACTATCACAATGTGTATACCGGTAGCCATAAAATACTACCATTTGTGTAACCATGACCCACCACTGTGTGTAACCATGACCCACCACTGTGTGTAACCATGACCCACCATTGTGTGTAACCATGATCCACCACTGTGTGTAACCATGACCCACCACTGTGTGTAACCATGATCTACCCCTGTGTGTAACCATGACCCACCACTGTGTGTAACCATGACCCACCACTGTAACCATGATCCACTGTGTGTAACCATGACCCACCCCTGTGTGTAACCATGATCCACCCCTGTGTGTAACCATGACCCACCACTGTAACCATGCTCCACTACTGTGTGTAACCATGACCCACCACTGTGTGTAACCATGACCCACCACTGTGTGTAACCATGATCCACCCCTGTGTGTAACCATGACCCACCACTGTGTGTAACCATGATCTACTACTGTGTGTAACCATGACCACTACTGAGTGTAACCATGGCCCATCCCTGTGTGTAACCATGATCCACCCCTCTGTGTAACCATTATTCACTACTGTGTGTTACCATGACCCACCACTGTGTGTAACCATGACCCACCACTGTGTGTAACTATGACCCACCACTGTGTGTAACCATGATCTACCACTGTGTGTAACCATGATCTACCACTGTGTGTAACCATGACCCACCACTGTGTGTAACCATGACCCACCACTGTGTGTAACCATGATCCACTACTGTGTGCAACCACGCGTAACCACTGTGTAACCATGACCCACCACTGTGTGTAACCATGACCCACCACTGTGTGTAACCATGACCCACCACTGTGTGTAACCATGATCTACCACTGTGTGTAACCATGACCCACCACTGTGTGTAACCATGACCCACCACTGTGTGTAACCATGATCCACTACTGTGTGCAACCATGCGTAACCACTGCATGTAACCATAAGCAACAACTCTGTGTGCAATTATGAGCCACTAATGTGTGCAACCACAAACCATTACTCTGTGTGTGCAACCAAGAGCCATTACTGTGTGTGTAACCACGAACCATTACTGTGTGCAACCATTAACCACTACTGTGTGCAACCATGAACCATTACTGTGTGTTTAACATGAGCCCCTGCTATGTGCAACCATGTACTAATACAATGAACCTCTCATGAAATTACCATATATTTAAAATGTTGTAGTGAAGAAGTCGCTCAAAATGCTGTGTTGAAGTGAATTAAAATGCAAAAATATTTTAAAAGCTGAAACGTCAATCTCTATGGAAAATGGAATGACAAGTTCAGCGCAATTTTGTATTGATTTTGTCCTCTCAGCAGATACACGCCATGAAACATGATGTCACTGCACAAAAACACAAATTACATGCTTTGGCAAGGAAAATACTAGTTTTTTCAATGACAACTTCTTTCATACCATGTGAAAGCGGACAGCATGTTGCACTGAGGGTATTAGTCCATGAACTGTCATTGAATGAAGGTGTAATCCTTTGGGCAGGCACAGGCAATTCAGACAGTAAAATTTTTAACATGAGTCTGTCATAAAATCAGCAAAAGAAAATAACTGTTCAATAATCAAATTGAAAATCATTTTTGCCTCTCCTGATCTTGCAGATCCGCGTGAATTCGGTGAATCCAACTGTTGTCATGACAGACATGGGCAGATACGCCTGGAGCGACCCCAAGAAGGCTGACCCCATGCTGGCAAGGATACCACTTGGCAAATTTGTAGGTGAGAGATGGTCATGATTCCGAATTCAGAAACACAAACATGCTATCACATGTTCAGCACCTATTTGGTAAGTCAGCTAAACAACTCACATGTCCATAATGTCCATATCTATCTCATTATTAGGGTATGTAGTATGGCTACAGTGTAGCTACAGTGACAACCCCTGTAGTATGGCTACAGTGACAACCCCTGTAGTATGGCTACAGTGTAGCTACAGCGACAACCCCTGCAATATGGCTACAGTATAGCTACAGTGACAACCCCTGTAATATGGCTACAGTGTAGCTACAGCGACAACCCCTGCAATATGGCTACAGTATAGCTACAGTGACAACCCCTGTAGTATGGCTACAATATAGCTACAGTGACAACCCCTGCAATATGGCTACAATATAGCTACAGTGACAACCCCTGTAGTATGGCTACAGTATAGCTACAGTGGCAACCCCTGTAGTATGGCTACAATATAGCTACAGTGACAACCCCTGCAATATGGCTACAGTGACAACCCCTGTAGTATGGCTACAGTAACAACCCCTGTAGTATGGCTACCGTGTAGCTACAGTGACAATCCCTGTAGTATGGCTACAGTGTAGCTACAGTGACAACCCCTGTAGTAAGGCTACAGTGACAACCCCTGTAGTATGGCTACAGTATAGCTACAGTGACAATCCCTGTGATATGGCTACAGTAACAACCCCTGTAGTATGGCTACAGTGTAGCTACAGTGACAACCCCTGTAATATGGCTACAGTATAGCTACAGTGACAACCCCTGTAGTATGGCTACAGTAACAACCCCTGTAGTATGGCTACGGTATAGCTACAGTGACAACCCATGTAGTATGGCTACAATATAGCTACAGTGACAACCCCTGTAGTATGGCTACAATATAGCTACAGTGACAACCCCTGTAGTATGGCTACAATATAGCTACAGTGACAACCCCTGTAATATGGCTACAATATAGCTACAGTGACAACCCCTGTAGTATGGCTACAATATAGCTACAGTGACAATCCGTGCAGTATGGCTACAGTGTAGCTACAGTGACAACCCCTGTAGTATGGCTACAGTATAGCTACAGTGACAACCCCTGTAATATGGCTACAGTATAGCTACAGTGACAACCCCTGTAGTATGGCTACAATATAGCTACAGTGACAACCCCTGTAGTATGGCTACAATATAGCTACAGTGACAATCCGTGCAGTATGGCTACAGTGTAGCTACAGTGACAACCCCTGTAGTATGGCTACAGTATAGCTACAGTGACAACCCCTGTAATATGGCTACAGTATAGCTACAGTGACAACCCCTGTAGTATGCCACAATATAGCTACAGTGACAACCCCTGTAGTATGGCTACAGTGTAGCTACAGTGACAATCCCTGTAGTATGGCTACAATATAGCTACAGTGACAACCCCTGTAGTATGGCTACAGTATAGCTACAGTGACAATCCCTGCAGTATGGCTACAGTGTAGCTACAGTGGCAATCCCTGCGATGGTTTGGTTGTGTCTAGCTATGGAAGGAACCATCAGATTGCAAACCTGCTCTGATTGCATCCCTTTGTCCTATGTAGGAGCAAGTACTTGGACTCAATCATGTTGAAAGCCATCAGCAATTTTAAACAAACATACTATACAAATATAAAAGCTAATTTCCAGTAAGACTTTAAGGTTTTACATATTTCAAGTTAGACCTTAAGTTTTACCCTGAGTCTTAAAGAACAAATAAACTTTGTTTTTTTATACTCTTTTAACCATTACATATGAAAGATTTGTGGTTAGTCTTATGCGGATCACCAAATTCATTCTTAAAAAACTTGTGTTTAATTAATACCGAGCGATAAAGAGTTGCCAAAAGGTCGCCTGCTTCACTCTCACCCGCCAACGAAACCACAGGCAGGTTACGTAACTCTGTCGCCAGAGCACTGCAGTGATGTCATATGAGGAAGGATTTTCAGTTAGTTGTATAGAAAGTGTGTAGCAAGCTCGTCATATTGATGATTTCTCGACATCAACGAAGACATGCCGAATCGTTGCGTTGTCGTCAATTGCTCCTAGGGGTCGGGCGATGGTGTCACCATGCACAGATTTCCACAAGAACCCGCAGTTCGTGCTAAATGGGTTATGTTTGTGAGTGCGAAGCGAGCGTTGTGGAAGCCTGAAACGATATCTTACTTGTGTTCAGATCGCTTCACGGAAGTTAAAGAATCAAAACTACTTACTAGTTGTAGTAAAATATGTATATGATTGATGACCATAAAGGATTTTCCATGACACAACTTGTAACATAACGATTTCTTCCTCGGAAGCGAGGTTGTGGTCGAAGTAACAATAATATAAATTGTAAGTAGTATTATATTGACACCCGCCTCGCTTCCACGAGAGAAATTGTTATGTTGTAAGCTATGTCATGCAAAGTCCTACTGGCCATCAATTCAATACATAATTTACTACCCGTAGAACGTAGTTTTGATTTTGTAACTCGGTGAAAACAAACCTAAATAGCATTTATCCTCAGTCTGGCGGATGTTCGTGACAGGGCGCCGTCATTTTTTAAAATCGTAAAGTCACAGGCTAAAGTCTTTTAGAATTAATGAGATTGTGGTTTGTATTCATCAAGTTAGAAATTCAAAACTACTTTCTACTCGTAGTTACATATGTATTTGAATCATGACCAAAAGGATTTTGCATGACACAACTTGTAACATAACGATTTCTTCCACGGAAGTGAGGTGGGGGTCGAAGTGACAACAGCGCGATAATTTTTTTGCTACATTCACATGGTTAACGTCCACTCACCAGTATGTAGATACTAGTCTTTATATTTGGTCTTATAATCATACTTGTATGCATTTTGAAACTAAATAAAAAGCAGACGATATGCTGATACTTATAGTGAATTTATAACAGGACTGTAATATCTAGACATTTTATAGTTTGCCAATGTGAATCAAAATTCGCACACACGCCCTAGTGTATGTTGTCAGTCTCATTACACTTCACGACGAAAACAATGATTCTGTTGAATGCTACGACAAATGAATAAAAACAAAACGCAAATATTAAAATTAAAACAGATTAAAGTTATAGGAACAATGTCAGGCTATTACCTTGTTCGAGGATGTATCCATCACTATCCACAAAAACGAGTGATATGACATTCATCTGCAGCTGTTCCAAGTGATGTGTCTTTTAACAGTCTAATTTACGAAAAAGTGATATATCGTTTCAGGTATTTCATATTGGTGTATAATCTCATTGGTCACCCAAGATAGCACACCTGGCAACTAATTGCATAATGTCCGCCATTCTTAAAAAAAAAAAGTAATTTAGTTAGCCAATAGTGACCAATCAATCAATGTATTGGCGGTTAATCCTTTGGAAGAAGGACGTTGTTTTTACACAGACACAGACACGACAGAGTGTATTCAGTATAGATTAGTAAATCTACATACATAAACACTACCTTTTGACAAATCCGCTGTGCAAGATAAAAGTAATTAATCAATGAGCGTGTTATCGGTTAATCCTTTGATCGATGTTTATAATGTTGAGTATTTACTCCAGACACAAGAAATGCCAAATGGGAACCTTTGTCGGGTAATCTAAGTGGTGTTACCACTAATTATACCTGTTATAATTTCATTAACTGACCATCAAGTGAATGATGACAAATAACATGTGGAGGTTTATACCACCTAACACGGGTTACAACAAGGGAGTATTAATTGCTGTATTGCATGCAATTTTAATTGCATGTGAAAACTTATGGGCCGACACTGTTTTGAGAATATGAACAGAACTTCATTGTTGCATAAGAAATACATATAAGCATTTGCTGTGTGCTAAAACTGTATGTACCTATTTACCTAAGTAAATTTTCAGATTCTTCTAGCAATGGCAAAATAGGGTTGTTTAGTTTACGGATTCAAATAAATCAAATGTCAACATGCGTAATAGATGTCATATTTTGACATGACATGATTAAATATCGAGGTAAAAACCCCAACAGAAATGGGATCTATTTGGATCAGTCATTATACCATCCAGGCATTAGAAAACCTGAAAAAGCCCACACTGCTTTGATACTTTATTACAATCAGACAAGAAGTACCGGGGATATGTTCAAATAACTGCATCTGATGGGCATCCACCCTTCTTAATATCACACTGTTTAGGTTGAAGAAATTAACCGTAACTGTGATGAGCGAGGCTAATCATCGTTATCACTAGCGTCTGGCTCAAACAAATAAGGCCTAGCGACACCAAGCGATTTTGACAGAATCATCTATGAAAAGAAGTTGTAACTCTAGGCAAAGCAGGAGACAAAATTAAATGACAGTAGATTCAGAGAACAATAGCTTTAATTTTTCACAACAGTTGTCACGATTACAGGTTTATACAAACCTGTAATCAAGATAAGTTACCCCCTGAAATGTACATGAATTCTGCATCGGCCCTCATATCTATTCCTCATATTCCTCATATGACGGCTCTGATTGGTTGAAATTTCGTTCGCGGGTGAGAATTGTGCACTGTTGTCAAAAAGGTCGATTTAAGTTAATTAAAGATCGAAATGAGTAGTTTTAATGATGGGGTTTCATTTATAACGATGCCAATTAGTGATTTATGTATTAGTACCCCCCTAGAGTATATGTGATCTTTAAGTGACACTCTGCTTTGGGGTTTTACTTTTGAATTATAACATCTAATATTCATATTTCACTGGTTAAAAATCAAGATCTGTTTTCATGGGGATTGCATCAAGTGAATCACACCCGCAGCCAGTGTTTTCTCATTGTTGTACCAGGTGATGAAGTGACAGCTGCAGGAAACATGACTTTTGACAGAGTGTGTAGCCTGCCAGTTGTTGCTGCACTTGCATTGCTGTCGGTGCAAGTGCTAGCTTAGACTAACATCTAGTCTTTGAAATGAACATATTTTACAGATATAAATGTTCATAAAACATAATCATAAAATATAATGAA